AAAAAAAAAAAAAAAGGAAAAAGTAGAGAGCCATGATGAAAGTAAGAAATAAGAAGAGTAAAGATGGAAAAGGTTGGGGGGAGGGGAGAGAAAAGCATTACATTTTAATTTCAATAATGGAAATTTCCATGATCTCTGAAACAGAAAAATATTTCCATGCATATAACAGTTTTAAAAAATTATTTGAAAATATGCCACAGTCACAGATTTTACGTTACATTCTTTCATAATTGCAGGAAAAATAACAATTAGATTTTTTTTCCACTAAGGCTTATTTGTAACTTAAAAAAATTTTAGGAATCCACTCCAGCATTTTCTTAGGACATGTCAAAACAGAAGCACTGACTATTAATCAAAGTTTCTAATTTGTTTGGTTTTGGTTTAAAATTTCACATGTAAGTGATGCCATGCAGTATTTCTCTTTAGCTTATTTCTCTTAGCATGATGTCTTTCAGGTTCATCCATTTTGTCACAAATCACAGGTTTCTAATGAACAATTCAGAATTCTATCTAATGAGTTACCCTTTCTAAATAGAGCAACAATTAATAAACTGATGTATGAAATAAACCACTGTTCCTGGGTCTATAAACAATTGTGCTGTGAAATTAGAGCTAGTTCAATAATTTTCCTTTAACAACACTGATTATATAACATACTTTTCAACACCAGTTTATCAAGTGGAGTGTGAAAAGAACATTAAACAGAAAGAAATATATTCTAAAGCAACAGTTGAGTTCTATTACAGTGTTTCCTCCTAAGAAATAAACTTTTTCAGTTTTAGAAGGTGATTCTCGCAAATACTGCTGAAATAAGTGGGCCAATGTCTGGAATTTAGAATGTCTTTTTTACATAATTAGCAGCCATTATTATTTAATGTCAGAATGTGTATTTTACCTACAATACATGTCTTTGTCCAGAAGAGAGATTCAATTTCCAGCAGTTCGACAGCTTTTTAAAAATTACTCAATTGGATAATTATTCTTGTTATAGAGTTAGTTATTACGTAAGTTTGGAAAGTGTATGTTATCCAGCTGAGAGTAATGGACTACTTACCCTTTTCCTTATTGCCATTGGTATTATGCAAAAAGTCTCCGTCAGACCGTGTTGTGGGAAAGTCATCTTCATCATCTTCTACCACTAAATAAAATATATGCAAGGATATTAGGATGAAAGGAAATAGAATTTAAGCAGTTTCTTCTTATGAGTAACTGAATCAATATACCCTGGATTCTGTGAGTACAAGATCTTATTCGTTTTTGTATTTTCAGGGCTTATCAAGGTATACCCAAAAAATATGCTACAGAATGTCTTTAATACAATAATTATAAAAATTGTACCCACTCTTATTCATGTAAGGTATGGTATTAAGATATGATTTTGTCTTTTAGTCGTCCTAGCTCTTCCTATTTACATTGAGGCAATGTCATAATTCTACCAGAGGCCTACAAGGGCTGAGCAGGACTACAGAGAATAATTTCCATGCAGAGGATACCGTAGCTTGCTTCTGAGAGTTCTTAAATCTACCATTTGTGAATATGCAGGGAAAATATGACCTACAGATGTGATATCAATTTTCATTAATCCCAGTGTATCTGTGCCTTGACATCCCTTTTAACTCAACCCAATTCCAGAAAAAAAAAAATCTCCTGTGTTCTCTCTTTCTGCATACCTCTGTTCTGTGTATTATCTCTTTTTCTACTGCCTCACATACTTTTAATCCTCTGCACTATTTATCCACTCTTAATGCAAATTTCTAAACCTGAGCCCCCAACCTAATTCTCTGCTTTCTATCAAGTTTTTTTTATGTCTTCTTTATTTTATTATCTTTTGAGGAACTCCCTTTCTACAGAATGAAACTGTCATACTTCTTGCCTATATCTCTTTACCTCACTGGTAATTTAGCTCTACAAGGAATATCTCATCTACTTTAGCTGTCTCTCCAATGGATGCAAAGCCCACTCCTGTTTCTTATTCCCTTCTTTGACTAAATGGTAGGGATCACCATGGAAAATACCTTTATTCTGTACTGCCATTTTCTTTTTTTTTTTTTAATTGGAGATTCTGTGCCATACTTTATTTTGTACCGCCATTTTCTAATTACTGGGCTATTTCATTTTTTCATCACTTGCAAATTTTGCTACTCATCTATAACAACTTTTTCAAAGCATAAGCTACTATTATCTACTAACACCTACTATTCATTTCTACCCAGCTAATCGATATCAATGTCTGACTGACACTTTTCTAAGTCAATCATTCCTACAGACTTAAATATCCATTTTGAAGCCTCTGCAGACACCTTCGTCCCAAGATTAATCAGACTTCCAGATTCTGTGTACCTTCATTGTCTCATCAACCATTTGCAAATATGGTCAATTCTAATAAATTCATTAACACAGCACTGCTGCTTTTAAATCAGTATTCATAATCAGACAAGATCCTAACCTTGACTCAACGTTACTTTGATTAACTGTTCTTAAATATAGAAAGGTTTGCACTTCCCTCATCTAATTAGTATCTACTTTGAATTACTAAAGATTCACTTTCATATCCCTAACCCATCCGATAGCCTAGTACCACCAAATAGGGATTTTCAACCTTCTATTTTAGCCAAATACTCAGTATGTAAAACTGATGAAAACAAGAGCTGCTCTGGTTAAAAGACTGGCCTTCCTCCTTCCCTTCCCAACCAAGTACTCCTTGTCCATCCTTGAAAAGCCTTTAAGGGATATCTGACATGGATTGAAACCACTAAGCTAATATAAATCCTCCATCTCAATCAGACTAGTTTCCCTCACCAACACTCAAATCTATTATGCTGAATTCCATCTCTGGATCTTGCACACTCTTGCTTTCCTTATTCCTTCAAATTAACTACATTAATAATAGCAGCTTTTATGTTTGTATGTATTTCCTTATAAGCACAGTGTTAACATATACATTCTTATTTAATTCTCACAACCGTATGTGCTGGATGTAATAGTTGAGGAAACAGATATGGAGAAATGTTAATCTGCTTCAAGTCATCAAACTGACAATGAATAGAAGAGCAAGATTAGAAGAACCTTTCCTTTAATGTCGTATATATGTCCTGGTTTAAAATCAAGCAGTATGTTGAGATTAAAGATAATGCCTTCTATTTCTTAATCCCAGAGTATCTAAATCTAAAGGGTTAATTAATCTTACTGAAGTATGTGTGGGAGTGGTGGTCAGGTTAAAACTGCCTTACTAACAGTTCTGATAAAACATTTTATATGAAAACACTGATGATCACCTAAAATAAAATGAGTTTCCTATTACCATTTCAATGACACACTTACTGAAGACCAGTGATTTTTAAAATTCTATATGTCACAGACTTAGTTTTGATAATTTAATGAAAGTGCAGCTATAGAGATCCTTAGACTTGGGTCAGCAACTCTAATCTATAGTCAAAGTAGAAAACTAAGGTCCATGTCCTTACTTCACCTTTATCCAGCATGTATTCTTAAAACATCAATATTTCTTAAAGTAGCATTTATAGAAAAATTAATTGCTATGGGCTGAATTGTGTCCCCCACTTCCCAAATTCATAATTCAAAGTCCTAACTCCCCTGTATCTCAGAATGTGACTGTATTTGGAGACAGGTTCTTCAAAGAGGTAATCACGTTAAAATGAGGTTATTAGGGCCTTTTGAGCTTCCTTTGCTCGGCATGGTCCAAACTCTTTGGAGTGTACTTTCTTTTCTAATAATGGCCCTTGAGCCATTCTCTACTGCTTGGGCCTGCTTCTGCTTCTTTGAAATGTATTTTTACTTCTAATACACTCCTTTTCTGCAACTTTAAAACACATAAGTAAAATGAGGTCATTAGGGTGGACACTAATCCAATAGGACTGGTGTCCTTATAAGAGGAAGAAATTTGGACACAGACACTTAACGAAGATAATATAAAGACACAGGAGAAGAAGGACATCTACAAGCCAAGGAGAAAGGCCTAGAACAGAGCCTTCCCTCATGACCCTCAGAAGAAACCAGCCTTGCCAACAACTTGATCTAACTTCTGGCCTCCAGAACTGTGAGAAAATAAATTTCTGTTGTTTTAGCCACCTAGTGTATGGTACTTCATGATGGCAGCCCTAGCAAACTAGCACATTAGTCTATCACTGTTATTATTTATTCAAACATGAATAATATTTAAAATCATTATTCACATCTTCTATACAACGTCGTTATAACTGCATCCCAAATTCTACTCCTTCCACTATCACTTGTGTCCTTCAGATGCTATATGCTATTGATGTGGGCCATTTAAAAATAAACAAGGAATCCAACTGTATATATCTTGTTTTTGTTTAAAGGGATATTTGTAAGAAAATGAAGCTTATGTGTCATGTTTAATTTGATAAAAAGGGTATTTGCAGTCAGACCTCTGTACTGTGGGTTCCTCACCCATGGAGTCAACTATCTGTGCATTAAAAATATTAAAAAAAAAAAGTTATGTTGCTGCTGACCTGTGCCTATGTAAGTTAGGCCTATGATGGTTGTGTCTGTAATAAATATGTACAGACGTTTTTTCTTGTCATTACTTCCATACACTATATTATAACAACTATTTACATAGCATTTATATTGTATTAGGTATTATAAGTAATCTAGAGATGATGATTTAAAGTATATGGAAAGATGAATGTAGGCTATATGAAAATGATCCACCATTCTATACAAAGGAGTTGAACATATGCAGATTATGGTATCAGTTGGGACCAGTCCCGTGAGAATATTGATGAACTATTACATACATTTTTTTTTAATTAAGGAGAAACAGCAGCTCTACTGCCTTTATTTTGAGAGAAATAAACATTAAATGTTAAAGAATCAAAAACTTAAAGTATGTCAAATATAAAGAACTTTAAGACCAGTTAATTTTGTCTACATTTTAAGAAGAATATGGGCTTCTTCTGGCCAAGATGGAATAAAGAACTGAATTTACCCTCTAGCATGAAACTAAAAACTGGAAAAGATAAGTGAAATGATTTTTCAAGACACTGGATATTAGGCAACAAAGGACAGTGATCCCTGAGTGTCTAGGAACAGATGATGCAAGCCCTGTGGTTGTCCAACTTATTGCCTTGGGAGAGTTTGCAAGCTATAGAGTAAGGAGGAGACCAGAAGGAGCCCAACAGACTCTCTTAGATGGAGAAATGGAGCTGCGAGTTGGGAGAGACAAAGGCAGACTACTGGAGAGGAGACAGCTATATAGAGCAAGAACCCCGGAGATTGACAGAAGGTCCTTTCGAGTATTCAGTAGAGTACCTGGCAGCACATACAAGTGAGGGAAATATGGAGGTCAGGGAAAAAATTATCTGAAACGATTCCAGGAAACAGTATCCAAAAGCCTCCATGGGGCAGTGAAGAGTATTTGTGCTATTTTACTTGAAGTGGTATATTACTTGTAGTGGTATATTACTTGAAGGTAGACTGTGATAACTTAAATGTGCATACTATAAATCCTAAAGTAGTCACTAAAATAACAGTTATAACTAAAAAGCAAGGGAGATAAAAAATGGAATTATAAAAAAATAATTTCAAAGAATACAGAAAAAATGGGACAGAGAACAGAGAAGACAAAAAGAATTTGAACTCAGATCAAATACATTTAATAAAACCAAATTAAGCAATATCAAGCAACCTAGTTATACAAGGAATAAACTTAGCGCTATTTAGCAATAATCCTGTGAGTAGTTCATTTTTGCCTTCAGAGCAAGTAAGAGAAAAATTGAAGAACAGATGTTGACAACATCAGTAATATTTTAGCAGTAACAAAGTAAAAGTTGAAAACTCACACTAAAAGTAAGTTAACTGAAGATATCTCTCTTAAAAATATTCACTACAAATTATTTTTAAATGTATATGTAGCTCTATTATTGATTTCCTCTTCCATGTAAAAAAGGCCGAGGAAGGGAGAGTGATGGAGAGGGAGAGAAAGTAAGGTGAAAAGAGAAAGATGGGAAAGGGAGAAGAAAAAGACAGAGGGAAAAAGATCGACTGATTCCAGGAGAATTTAACATAAATATATGTCTCTAAGACTCATCACAGGGCAAATTTATTAGACATAATCATGTAAAATGCCCCATATTACCAAGAAGACAGATATTATATTTTTCAATAAAATGAAGAGTTTAAAAATAATTTAAAAAATCTTTGGTGGAATCTGGTATGAGCGATCAGATTAAGATGTTACTAAAGTACACAGTTATATGGACACTGAAATCTGTTACATTGGGGGTTTGCAGCAAAAGTGACTATAATTACCTTTATCAGTTAAAGACATTACCCTTTAAGATCAAGAGGCTTTAAATCCATTCATTCTCCAAGTAAAAATAGTGGTAATAGCCTAATTAACCTTTATCCCTTTGAAGTTCATCCTTGGAGACAACATCAGCACAGGCATCAAAGTACTTCTGTAGAGTATCAACTTGTCTACATAGGATATCTCTAAAGGTTTCCATTTCAGCCAATTTCTCACGTAAACTGTGGCCTTTCTGCAAAACACAAAAAGGGGTGGGGTTGTAATCCAAATGAACAAAACTGGAATTTATTTAGTCCTATGATATTTTATCACCTTTTATGATCTACATCTTACTAATGAGGGCCATGCAATAGGGAGAGCTCTCAAGCTCAATGTAATACTACTAGGGATAGACTTGAAACTGACTTAACAATGGCTAGATAGTGATAAGCCTGAAGGAAGTAAGAGAGCAATAAATAAACCTGACAATTTACTAAGATAACATTTAATATTTTCAAATTATTGACATTCTGGGGAAAAATTGTGAAAGACTTTGAAATGGGCAAAAATATTACTGGGCGTCCTTACAAAAGAATGGTGAGTGTCATCTATGGAACCTCTAAGCATCTAGAAACCTTTAGGAGAGGGTGTTGTCTAATCCTATAGACGTCTCTGATTTCATTTAATTTGAGCTATTTTATAACTCTTTTAAGTAGTAGAAAACTGAGAGTGACATAAACGATTCTTATCCATAGATATGCAAATAAACTTGGGTCCAGTGGTGATATACTAGTTACTAATCTGTGGATACTGACCAGTTTTTGTATATATTAGCAAAAGCATTTCAGCATTCTTCAGGTTCTCCTTTGAACCAAATTTTTTCTTTACATCTTATCTATTAATGAATGAAATAAAATCTGTGACGTGTTCATTTTCTATTTTATGAGCCATGAATTTTAGCCCTAAAAAGAACTATTCTGTAACAACTTCAAATAAATTACATTGTAGAAAAGCTTTTCCAAAAAACCATCAAATAAGCTCTGTTCCCAACATTCTGTATTAAATTCAATTTATGTTGCCTTAACTTAAAGCATTCCCAACCACATACCTTGAATGAAGAAGTGGATGTTGCAGAATAGCCACTTGCTCCAGACACCAGTGACACCATCGAGCCATGTCGACGCAAGCTGGACTCAGATCCATAACCAGATTCAGTCTAAAAAGAAAAGCAGATCACATGAAACAAATTAAATAAAAAACACTTAATCATCACAAGAAAAAACTGTAATTATGTGAGATGATGGATGTTAACTAAACTTACTGTCGTAATCATTTCCCTATATATGTATATATACAATCATTATTCTGACACCTTAAGTACAAGGTTATATCTTAATAAAACTAGAGAAAATACTTAAGAGAAAATAAAAGTTTTCCTATAAATTAATAAGGTTGTTATAAAAATTGGATAGAACAAGGGCAAAACAGGTAATAAGAGGAAAACTTCCTGTGCTATTTCTTTATAATACTATTTCCAATACTCTCCCTTACCACTGTCTTAATGAAGCCTTTTCTATTATACCAGGTGATTTGTGTCTGTATTCTCAATCATTCTTAACATGGCATGATTATGGCATTTATCACTCAATTATATTTACATTTTATAATTACTATTGGACTTGGATCTTCTAGAAGAAGACTGTATCTTTTTAATTTTTGTAGCCACCTCGACGGTTCACGTCACAAAAAAAGTTCTCAATTTTGCCAGTCTGTTAAGTAATCATGCCATAGCAAATAACTGAACTGCTGGACACTGGGGTATACTTAGACTTAGCACTGTAATAATACTTTTATTTCATTTTGGTGGGGTTGGTACTCATCAGAGCATCAATTTTATATTCTACCCTCCCTAAGACAAATGCAGTACCAATAAAATAGACAAAGGAATTGAATATTTGAAAAAAATAACTTCCAAGTACCTGAAACCTGCTCAAGTATTTTGGATCTTTGATTACTTTCTACTGTTATTTATTTATTTTTTAAGTATTATGCATAATTTTAGTCCTAGTCACTAAACTTAAACAGTAAAATAATATTTAATCATTTTTGTATCACACCTAGTAGCAGCAATTAGAAGTTGTGTTAGGTTACCTGATTTTCAAGATTAAGATTAAGAATCATTAAAATTAAGTACAATGTATTACAAAAAGTATTTCCATTGACATTTTACGTTTTCTATGCTCTGGTTCCTGAAAATCCATTATATTTTCTATACAGCAGTTGGTTTACCTATGAATTATTCTAATTGGACAATGTTCTCTTAGGTACAAGAATATTAAGCTTTTATACTGATTTAATAAACAAAATTTTATTATTTTTATGTAAATACTAGTTCAAAACATTTTCCAGTTCAGTATCACTTCATTTAACTTAAGTTTAATATTTCAAGAAAAAAGGAGAGGAGTGAGTTAAAAGAAAGGAGAAGGAATCCATAATCAAAATAGCAAAACAACTCATGAAAAAGAAATTATTATCAAGCAGACACCAGAAATTCATCCATGTGAAAACAAACAGTCTCTCAAAATTGAATCTTCCTGCATATACGGGTCAACAAATAGTCAAAGTGAAATTGTCATACTTTAATGATGCTTGTTCATAAAATATCCTATCAAAGGTACTGCAATATCTTTTTTTTTTTTTTTAAAGATTGTATTGGGGTAAGGGGAACAGTGTTGGGAAATTGGGTAAGGGGAACAGCCAAGTTGTTGTCCTTCAATCTTAGTTGTGGAGGGCACAGCTAGCTTAGCTCCAAGTCTGGTCACCATCCAGCTGCCCTTCGGCAGCTCAGGGCAGTTCAGCTCAAGGCGCCATGTTCAATCTTAGTTGTGGGTGGGCGTAGCCCACCATCCCATGCAAAAGTCGAACCAGCAACCTTGCTGTTAAGAGCATGTGCTCTCACCAGCTAAGCCACCCTGCCACCTGTAGGCAGCTCATCTCAGGCACAGCTCATTGGCCCATGTGGGAATCAAACTGGCCACACTGTTGCTCAGAGCTCACGCGCTTAACCAACTGAGCCACTTGGCTGGCCCTGCAATATCTTCTTTACTGAATTTACTAACAAGTTACATGTAAACTTAAGACTATATGGAATCAAAGCTCTTCTCTAAGACTCATACCACTACACACTACTCCACATCTCAAAGCAAAGCAGTGTCTTAGTGATGATGCAAAATAAATATTTTGGTACCAGGAAAACTATTAATGAAAGGGTAAAGCATGTACTTTTTGTATGTAAATTACACCTCAAGAAAATTGATTTTTTATTTTTAAAAGGACAAAACTATTGTATGAATAGAAAGCAGGTCAGGGTGCAGCAGAGACACTGAATACAAAAAAACTGGGGGGGCACAGGGTATAACTGTCAAAATTCAAATGTCCAATTAAAATGGATACATTTTAAGAATGTTAAATTGTACCTCAACAAAGTAGATAAAGAGGAAAGGTTAAGTTTGTTTCAATATAACAGAATCCCAACAAAAGAGAATTCTAATTACAACAATCACATAATTTATAAGAAATAAGATTTTCTATCAAATAATGTCCTGGAACAAACATACCGAGCTAGGTTCTTTATCTAAAATGGCTCTAGTTTCTTATTTTTTACAATAGCGCTAACTTTCTAAGTGTAGTGTTCTGACATTTTAATTGTTGTACTAGTTTGGTAATTTTACATTAGATTTAAATATATAAGGATAAAATTAAAAATAAGAAGAATCTATTTGTAACAGGTTAAGCATAAAGTACTTCAGAAATTAACTTAGATACCTATGTGTCATTCATTTCTAAAGAAATTAATCTCAATGGCCCATTACAAACGACCCTAAAATTTACAATCAAAATTTTATATTGAAAGCAAATTTTATTTATTGGAAAAATGTTCAAAACCAAACAATCTGAAGTTTAAATCCAAATGAATCTACCCTCTCCATTTCCTGCTTCATGTAAGTCTTAAACAGAGCAAGTCAAACTGTCTATATTTTTTTAAGATCTTCAAAAAAAATATAAACACTACAAAGTTTAGTAAATGTTTCTTCACTATAAAAATACTTCTTCTACTTGTGTCTATTTTTTTAGTTTGCACTATTTCAAAACAAGTAATATCTACTTACAACAAAGACATGATAGAACAAAAGAGTACTATAGCAATATTGATACTGCTGTATGTTTTACATAATGGATAATAAATAAATGTGGAGGCTGAGAGTTTAGTGGAATTGTATTTCTACCTGTAATAAAATTTCACTTAAATGAATTCCATTATAAATTATATAAATCATTCCAAGGACAAAGAAAATACAGTATAACCAATTCTGTTATTGAATTTAAATAATGGCGATTCATTTGTCACTCTATTTCAGTCAGCAACTGCACTGAGATAACTTTAAATAGAAATAATGTGTTTAGCAAATATACATATACACACACAAATGAAATTACTCTTATGGTCATAACTGATACACTGTTAAATGTTCTTAAAAATTGTAACATGATTTAAAATCTCAGTGTTATGATTTTGGGGGATAATACTTTAAAAGCATGCTGGCTTTTAAAAAATTCCACTCACGCTGCCATAAGAAAAAAGAAGTTGAACTTACTTACAATCTCTAATCACCAATATAGTATTTTGAAAACACCAAATTCTATCTAAAATTAATACGGCAGAATTCAAATACAGTTACTGTAGGAATATCGGGGATACTAAAAAAATGTATACAAGTGGATACTTTGATCAAGGTTGCTCAGGTAGTAGTTCCTGGTAATCAGAAGTGTCTGGATGCTGATGGTAACCACTTTGAGCACCTCTTGTAATTGCAGAAGTCAAACGTGACTTGTATTCATCTTTTGCTATTGGTATATATTGAGTATTACAATTTTAATAGTTTTTCTTTCTTAAAATGTGTATACATATTTTTGGCACCTTCTATATTTTTCCCTTTCAATATATCTGCTTTAAGTTCCCTCATGTGAATTGCTTTGCAAAAAATTTTCCCAAATTTGTGAGTTTGTAAGTGTATTCTTGAACATGTTAACGTAAATATAAAATTGAACTATGTGGGTTCAGTGAAACACTTATTGAATACATCCTATATTGAACAAAGTTTACTTATTTTAAATACTACAGTAATGAGACCATACCCCTTGTTATAACATTCCTTTTTATTAAAAAAAAAAAAAAGCACAATATATTGGCCACTAGAGGGGGTCAGTAGCATTTTTCAAGTAAGAGCATACTACTTGGAAAGCTGAAACAAAGGTTACTATTGATCAAAGTGTTAAGAGTAACCTTTAGACTAATTCCTTTATATGTACCTGTACTCTCTGTATCTTGACTTTTTGAGAAAAATGAAAAGCATGGTAAATTAAATCATATAGTTCAAAGTTATGAATTTAATAAAACACCAGAAATACTCAAGAGCTGATTTGAAAACTCCCCTAAAGTTGTAGCTAAATTTTTCAGTTTTTAATAATCTGGGAGATAAATTTATATATTATTCTGCACAGGCTGTTCATCAGCCCATCTACACCCCAAAAGCAGTGGTATAAAATATAACAAAAAGGTTTGTTTATTTTTTAACAGCACCTGGTTTTTGAAAAGCTTATTCTTTTCCTAGTAATACTCCCCAGCAAGAAACATGGCAAAAAAAAAAAAAAAAGAAGACAGAAATTAACTTCCTCATGGTGTCAAAAATTATCTAGTTAGTAGTAGCATAGTTCCCCCACCCCAAAACTACAGTCTTTTTCCATTTTAATTATGGGAAGAGAGAAAATACAGTATTGAATGTTAATATAAGAACAATGGAGCATTTTTTAGAAACTGAAATTCTGAAACCTGTAATAAAACCAAACAAGCTTGCTATGCTGTGATCATCCACACATCTACCTTCAATATTACTATTTTAAAGCAAACCACATGAAAAGCAAGACATAATCAAGAAAGCAATTTAATAAATATGGTTGTGATTTAAAATATCATAAGTTTTAATAGCAACAATTTTATTTTTGTGTAGGTCAAAATAAAGAGTATTTGAGATAAAATTTGGCACAACAATTTCATCCTTGTAAATATTAAAATCTCATCTACTTAACCTTTCAAATACTTATGGATCCCCCTAGAGAAACAGCAGACTCCGGAGTAGAAAGAACATTAAGGATAAG